TGGGTTAAATAATCCCACCCCCAAACCACAACCCTCACCTCCGGCGGATGGGCAAACCCTCCCACCTTCCCCCCCTCAAAAAAAACCCCTCACTTCAGTGGGTTCACTCTCAATTCAAACCCCAAAGAGAAATCATATACGCCCTGCCTTTCATCTGAAACTCCAATCCTCTTACCCCGGGGTAGGACGCAGGGTTGGGTGTTAGACTGAGGTTTTAATGAGTCAAAGTCAGACCCTGGCGACCCCAGTGAAACCTACAACTCCGGCCTCGAGTGTAGAGTAGTTAGAAAGCGCTTTGTTGTCGCCGCTACTATTGTTCTTTGATAATGACTAATTACCCAGCAGCAGAAGTTTGACCTCCCGGGACGACTTCTCGCCGTCTTCCTTCAGGTTGCGGTCGATCATTTTGCTCCTGGCCATCGCCGCCTTGTCCTCGGCGCTCATGGTGCAGCCCATCCCGGCAGCCGGACAGGGGACCCGGACTCCGGGGACGAAAGCAAGAGTGAAGAAGGAAGGGGGCTTTAGGAAAATCCCCTCACACCGGGGAAAGGAGGTGGGCCGGGGGGGAAGGTTGGGGGCCGCGAAAAGAAAAAAAAACCACGAACTCCCTTCTCAGACGGTGCGACAGAACAGAAGGAATTTATGTATTTCTTTTCTTTCACATCGGTAATTCGTTCGCAGAATCGGAAAAAAAATATGCGTATAAACGCTTCGAGAGGGGAGAAGATCAATTAAAAGAAGTGTACTTTTAACCACGGGGACCGTTAACAATTCAAAACCTGCGATCGCATCAGGGCGGCCAGCGCGAGCCGCGACGGTTAGACTCAGAAAACGGAAACCCGCCCAACCGGAACTCGTCGTCGCGCAAAGCCCGACGGGAGGTGTAGTTCGGCCGCCGACACACCTGAGCACAAACCGCTAATGACACCACCGACCCGACGCGCAAGGTACCGTGGGAGTTGTTGTTCGGCTCCCGACACGCTTCAGGTGACCCCACCCGACTGTACGCGCGCACACCGTCTCTCTCAGAGATAGTAGGAACTGCAGAGGCTGGAGAATCTGAGATAACAAGGTATAGAGCTGGATGAACACAGCAGGCCAAGCAGCATCAGAGGAGCAGGAAGGTTGACGTTTCGGGCCTAGACCCTTCTCTCCCCCGCCCCCGCTTCGCGCATGCACACACGTTAATCAATGAGGTGAATTTGTATTTGCAGATACATTTTATTTTGTTCAAAAAGCACACCATTTAGGGACAGTCAATCGATATGGCGTTTTATAAATTCATACTTTAGAAATAAAACCAGTCTGACTCCAAACAAAAACACAACCGGATTCCAAACAAGGTCAGACACCTAACATGCATTGTCTGTTCGAAATGTCACGTCTTCTTCACACTGATAAAATCTTCAGTGCTTCCAGGACTGTGACTTGAAAGAAATTTGGGAGTTTATATATACATATTAATCAGTTAAAACCTTCTAACTGATTAAAATTTAATAGATTTAAAAGATTTAAGAAAACAGTTTGTTTAGTACATCCTCATCAATGGTGTGAACCTTTGATCTCTTTCTTATACATTCTGTGTCTGATATTACCTCTATCACTAACACCTGAAGAAGGGCTGAGGCTCTGAAAGCTCATGTTTTCAAATAAACCTGTTGGACTATAGCCTGGTGTTGTGTGATTTCTGACCTGACACATCTAGACACAAGCAGTGGGAGGGCAGAGATGTGGTCAGTAGTACTACAGCAACAACTCCGAAGGAGGGTCCCGACCCGAAACGTCAACTTTCCTGCTCCTCTGATGCTGTCTGGCCTGCTGTTTCCTCCAGCTCCACTCTGTGTTATCTATGACTCCAGCATCTGCAGTTCTTACTTTCTCTCGTACAGATAGGAGAGTGCCTTTATTGCGTTCCTGTTCTTCTCACTGCTCAAGGAAGGCATTCGAATGAGAGGAGGCCAAAGGGAGCATTGCAAAGGCTTCCTGAAGAACTGCAACAGAGATTTAAGAAGAAACTGACCTGAAAGAATCTCTTGTGTGAAGGGATACAATTTTTGAGAACACCCGTTGTCAAGAGGAAGTGCAGGAAAGGAACTGGAGAAAGGAATACTAACATCTAAGGACGACTTCCACCTACCTGCCAAATGTATGATTGGAGATGAGGCTCTAGGATCAGACTCATCAGTTACATAAGGATCAACAGAACCCATGACTAGTGACATGGAATTTCCTCAGTGGACAATCATACTCGATAGCAACTGATTGCCAACAGCGAGTTGAGAGAATTTAAAGTTGTGCTACCCAACACAAAAAATCATCTGAAGGCAAAGATTTTACATCTATCTCTTTATATATTGACATATTCCCTCTTTTTCTTCTTTATTTGTTTAATAAAATGCTGAACTTGCTCAAAAGAGAGACACATTGATGAAGTGTTGCATCTTGCACGTAGTGGAACTATTGTAAGAAAACCAAATCTCAAACAAACACAACAGTTTGGAGCGTGCATTCGGCATTTCTGCTTTTGTTCTGATGCAAGGTGGAAAGTTTGGCATTCACCAACGTTCATTCCTGGGATGTGAGGGTCAGGGACAAGGCAATTTGCTGCTCATTTCCCTGGATCAAGTGGTTTTGAAAAACATGTTCAAATATTGCTTTATAATGGATGTAGTTTAATATATCCGTTAACATACTGTTATGAAGATTTTTTTTAATGTTAAAGGTTTGTGGACAGTTGTTCATTGTGTATCTGATTTACTTTTTACAAGTCATGAAAAAGTAATTGGGACTTATTTTTAAAGGCGCTTCATGAAAGAGCGTCCAACATGTATAAACTTAAAACTTGAGTGGTAACCGTTGAGAAAGTCGGCAACTAAAGTTCAACCCTAACCTGAGGCAATATCAAACCATAAGCAATTTCCAGCATGGGTGAATTTTAATTTCCTTTATTCAATCTTTCATGTGACCTGGGTGTCACTGACAAGGCCAGCAATTGTTGCCCATCCCTAATAGCCCTTGAACTGTGTTGCTTTCTAGGTCAGTTCAGAGTCAACCATATTGCTGGTGAGTTTGGAGTCACCTGCAAAGATAGCAGATTTCCTCCTGTAAAGGACATTAGTGAACCTGATGGGATTTTATGACAATTCATGGTAGCAATTAACTTTCAATTCCAGAATCATTAATTGCATTTATATTCCATTAGCTGGCATGGTGAGATTTGAACCCATGAATCTCAGAGGATTAGCCTGGATCTCTGTGTTACTCATCCAGTGACATTACCACTGCACAACCAGGAAGTGATGGTTTTTCTTCTTGCAAATTCTGAAGTGCCATGGAGAATCGTTTTGACCCCTCTACCAGCAAAGGCAAAAAATACTAGGAACTGCAAACGTAGCACTGGCCAGGAACAGAATTTAGGAAACTTTCTGGTTGTAATATTTATTTCCACATTGGTCAACAAATGAAAACCAACAAAAAGTACATATTTTAGCTCACTTCTCCAAACTCCTTTTTAGTTACACTTCAACATTCTTTTAGGAAGTTTGAAAAAGGCACTTTCGAAACCCAAAACACCACAGATCATAATGTTACCATTATATTGATTTACGTAGTTAACAACTTGAATATATAAAACATGATAAAAATGAAATGCTTGTATTTATGTAATATCTTTCAAGTAACCAGGATGTCTTAAAAAGCTGTATTGCCATTTAAGTTCATTTGAAGTGTTGTCACTGTTGTAATGCTGGAAACACAACAATCAATTTCTTTACCAATCAAGAGTTGGTCAGCAATTGCTGAGCTGTAGCAATTAAAATGAATTGCAATTTACACATTTTCCTAACGCAATCTGTAAGTAATGTGTAAAATGAAATGTAACTACAATATGCACATTTTGTCTGCATCATGTGACTTCTTATCATATTATGTGTCAACAGTTTCCACTCTAAACTTTAGAGTGTGCATTTACCACGGGAAGTGCGTATGTACTCTATCACTCTGACTGTGAAATCTGACTGCCGCGTTCCAATAATCCTTTTAAATTGCTTTCTAAACATGTTTTCACATTTTCTATGCGTTCTGTGTCTCGAGCACTCAACTTTCAAAATTCCTCCATCAAGAGGTCAATCAAAATTTTAAAAAAGCTTTATTAATATGAAGCATAAACTTAGCAAATGAATTATCCTTCATGTCTTTCAATGTCTTAGTTAAAAATTCCAGCTGAATCCTGTGGTTATCATAGGCGACATTAGTGGTTCTCATTCTAGAAGTGTGGATTTTGGGGGGTGCATAACAGTATGGAGGTGGGAACTGGATGCTGGAAGGGAGGGGGTGTGGGCATGGGGGAGATGGTGACAAGAGACTTCCAGGTGTTTAAGAAGACTTCCGATTAGGTGAGTAAGGAGCTGAAGCCTCGTTTCAACTTAGAGCCTGCTCACACCTCACTGCCTACTTTCTGTGATGGCACTGTCACCAGTGTCTCCTGGAATATGTCCAGCCAGAGTTGGTAACAGAGTTGAGAAAATACAACTTTACAACTGTCATCTGTGGACCAAGCCTAGTTGCAGTAAGGCCAGACAGTCAAATACATCCAGTGAAATCTTGCTTATATAAAATCAAACAATTGCAGATGTTAGAAATCTGAAATAAAACCAGGGTGTTGGAGAAACTCAGCCTGGCAGCATCTGTGGACAGAGAAAATCAAAGTTAACATTTTGAGTCAGGAAACAACTTGTCTTAGGAACTGTTACCCACTTTCCTTATTGAACAGTTAACCATCACTTCTCTATAATTTGCATGTTTTGTGTTCTTTCGTGTGTGTTGTGGAAGTCAGAACTTTTTAAAAATATTTCTCATATTTTTAACCTCTATGGAATGTAGCATGATAAAACTAAATCTTACTGTTTAAATCAAGAAATCCTACCTGGTCATTCACACATAAACAGTTCACACCTCACTGAATTGGCAAATGCATTCTTTATGAATTTGAGGCCTCTGCTTCAAACAAAGCTGCAGTGGTTAAAAAAATGGACACTATTGAACCTCTTCTCACTTGATCCAAATATATTTTTTAAATTCATTCACAGAACGTGGTACCAGCATTTGTTGCCTATCCCTAATTGCCCAGAGGGCAGTTGAGAGTCAACCACATTGTTCTGTGTCTGGAGTCAGATGTAGGCCAGACCAAGTAAGGATGGCAGTTTCCCCTCCCTAAAGGGCATTAATGAATGAGATGGCTTTTTAATGACAATCAGCAATGGATTCATAGTAATCATTGGACTCTTAATTCCACCATCTGCTGTGATGGGATTTGAACCTAGGACTCTGGAACGTTACTTGGCTGTCAGAATTAACAGTCCAGCTCCTAATGTATCACTGCATTTTCAACTGCTGAACTCCAAGCAAATATTCAGTTCTGTTGGAGGCATGAATCATCTAATAAAGACACCACTGTGATGATTAGGCATTCTATCACAATTCACATGATAAGAAAAATATACATATTTATATGTATTGAGCTGCGATTAGTCAGTTTTATTTTTTTACTGCGGGATTTGTATTGCTTCCCTAGAATTCCCATTGCTAATGTGTGGCTAGAACTGCCAATGGCAATCAATCTGTCTTTTGTCATGGTGGGTGATTATAAGCAATCACTTTGATTCCCCGCTTGTTCAGTCTATGCCACTTCAGGTTTGAGCAGTTCAGGCACATATTGTTATGGCTGCTGCATATCATGTCTAATCACTAAATGACTTGGATTAGCTTGGCTATGAAGAAATGATCCAGGTACCATTACAAATCTTAACCTTTGCTGTCCTGGCCATAATCTTGAAGTGTTCTCCTGACCTCGAATAACCTCAACCAACTGAGATGGGGGAGGATTGTATCAG